AAACTGGAGGAAGTTCTCAGCTGAGCCAGCGTTGGGGAAGCCAAGGAAGAGGACACCGCGGCCGCGGGAGAGGTATCCGACCTTGGCAATGCGCGAGAAGGCCTTGTGCACCTCGGCGTTCTCCCGGCAGAACTGCAGGACATGGCGGCAGACGCTGCCCACCCGCCCGTAGACGCAGCTCGCCTTGTGCGTGTCCCAGTCCTCGCGCCGGCAGTGCCGGGAGCAGTAGTAGGTGTAGCAGCTGTGGCACGATTTGAAGTAGAGGCAGGCGTTGAACATGGTCTCTGTGCGCCGGCACTTGGCGTTGGAGCACATCATCATGTCGTCCTCCTCTGCGCTCAGGTCGGGCGAGCAGTTCTCTGGCGACTTCTCAAAGGGGCCGACAGCCAGCGGGGTGGGCGAGGGCCGTGGGGCGCCAGCACGAGAGCTGGGGCCTGGCTGCTCCTTCGTGGGTCGGGGTCCCTCGGGCACAYTGGGGGGGACCCGCCTGCCCTCGCCCCGCCGGGGGGGCCCCGGGGCGCTGCTGCTCAGGAGCTGCTTGAGCTGCTCGGCGAGGCTGTCCCTGTCCCCGGCGCGGTGGCCTGGCGCTGGCTTGTAGTCAATGACGAGGTCGGTGATCAGCTCGTCCAGCTGCTCCAGGCTGCGCTGGCGCCCTGAGCCGCTCTCCCTGGGGCCGGGCTGCGGGGTGCAGGGCACGGCATAGGGCCCACGCTCCTGTCCCGCGTCCAGCATGTCCCAGCTGGCCGAGCGCCTCTCGCTGCGGCCCAGCCCGTCGGCACGGATGTCGTTGTCAGTGATGGTGATCTCTGGCGTGACGTACCAGGAGCGGCCCGGGGGTCCGCGGCTGCCATCAGCATGCACCCGCTCAAGGATGGAGCTCTCGGAGAGGGACAGGGCAGCATAGCGCTTGGGTGAGCTCGACAGGTTGATCACCACAGGCTGCCGGCGCTCCTCGGGGGATAAGGCACGGTGCTGCTCCTGGGTGAGCAGGTTCTCGTAGCTGCGCCCGCGCTGCAGGGCCTCCTCCCTGCGTGCCACCGGCGCCAGGATGTTATCCCAGGATTTGGAGTAGTGCTGGGTCTCCCGGCCCAGCCGCGGCGGGGTCACGCCATAGCTGGTGTGCCAGGAGGAGAACATGGCCTCGCGCCCGGCCTGCTGCGGGGTGAAGCGTGACACTTGCAGGGTTTGGTAGGGCAGCGTGGCCCGCTCGGGACAGTACCAGTCCCCGAAGTGCAGGGGCTGTGCGCTGCGGGGTGGGGGGCACGTCCGCGACAGCACCTCCCGCTCCCGGTACTTCCCGTAGTCCTCGGCATAGAACATCCGGGCAGAGGACCCGAGGGCCGGGTATGTCCGAGCGTCCTCGGCGTAGAGGGTTTTG